CGCCCTCCATAAGCAAGGGGAGGGCGCGAAAACACTGATAGGGGCCATTTCAGGTCATGCAGCGGCCATTTTGGAGCCGCCGATCAGCTGTTCGGCGGCTCCAAAATGGCCGCCGGAGGCCCCAATCGTCGCAAAGCGAGTGCGGCGATTGGGGCTGATCCGTATAGCGATCCCCAAAAAGGGATCGCTATACGGATTCTTCGTTAAACGGTGCGCTCGTTAAGCGAGGCACCACTGTACTTAGAAAGATGAAAAAGGGAAAAATAGAAAGGGGACCCTTAATGTTGAAAAGCATGTATACATCTAACTTTGGGAAATGTAAAGGAGCCTATCTTTTATATTATAAAGGAGAATTAAATTGAAATAAGGGAGCTGTAACTAGGGTAAAGATGTAACATGGTGGGTTTTCTTTTTAGGTAAATTAAACTAGATATAAGGTTGGGGCATGGATCTGGAACTATTTTTATTAAGAATGTTATTAGAAGATCTTGAGAATATTGTACACAATGAAAGTAATATTATGATAGTAGCCAATATTATATACTAAAATACGTACATGAATGGTTTGAATGTTTGAAAGATGTCTGGAATTTGGGGGGACAACTGGGAAGACACTGAGATGTAAAAAACAAATAATTGTAAGCAAATCGTGTAACACGATGTTTAACAAGCACAAATCAAATGTAGAGTGAAAAACTAATAAAATGTATTAAAAAAAGAAATAAGCAGAGATCAGAGAGTTATGTACAGCTGTAATCATATGACATTCTCTTTAAAAAAACAGCCTTTCATTAAAATGCTCAGATCCAGGCATTTTTTGTTCCATCTTTCTGAGGTTGGTAAATTGAATACACAGCTTGCTTTGGGAGAGGGAGGGCAATGTATAGCCTGTATCATTAAATTGTAAACTGCCCAGAGAGTGCTTTAAGCACTATGGGGCGGAGTATAAGCAGCACACGTTGCTTTGCTCTAATGTGGTATGGCTGCAAGGTGGCATGGTGTGGCAACATTCAGGAACATTCAGATGCATACTTTCAGCCCTTGTAGACTTTGAAGAGCACTGATTTGATACTAGAATTAACAAACTGGAATCTTCTCAGAAAATGGTTGGTGGAGATTAGATGGCTTTCTAGAGAGCTCTTTTTGTGTTTAGAGCCCACTGTTGCAATTTAGTGAAAGTTGGTTCTCCAGGTGGCTATATTAGCAACTGCTAAAGTTTATTGAGAGGTGTTATCAGGCATAATGTGTAATTGAATGGGAACTCTGAACTAAAGGGTCAGAAAGTGAAAAAAAAGGATCTTGCCATTTGCATTCCATAAGTTCATCTAGATGTGCACCAGAATTTGATACTGTACTGGCATGCTTGAAAATGTTGAGATGCCCTGAGCTAGATGAGTCACTAACCAGCACTGTCATTGGTGCACCTCGTTGAGTTGTGATAGCTTTTACCACCATCAGATACACGTGTGAAATGTAATGCAGTTAGTTTTCAGAAATGGCTAGAAGCTATTAATAACTCCATGGCCAGAGAAAAAAATATTTCAGTGCTAGAACTGAGAGACACTAATATGGTCAAGTAATAATAGTTGGGTCTGCACCTATATCGCTACTGGCCATGTAATAATTTTGTCAAATGCCTGCAGGAAGTGTTTGACGAGTGCCACCTCAATTATCCCACCTCCCACATCAATTTACTTAGTATTCAAGATTTTCTGTGCAAATGGGGCAATTATAACCAACTGGACAGTTACATTGCAGCAAAAGGGAGGCAAGAAGGGAAATAGTGCTTCTGATTCTCTCTCCCCGCTTAGCAGTAATGCAGTTTTAGGTGCTACCTAACTGTGTCTCACTGTCCCTTGATCTTTTCACATCACCTCCTGTCCCATTCCGGGTCTCCTGTAAAGCTCCCTTAATGTGCCATGGACACTTTTAATGAAGAAGCAAAGCATAAGTGAGCACAAGAGACATGAATATGAGCTTATAGATATATGAGTGATGCAGACATATCATTTTGAGAGGTCATTGTTCATTCAGTTAATTAGTTTTTAAATTATGCTTAGCGTTTTAGGTCGGCTGCATCTCCTGGGAAAGGAAGCATCTCTAGACTTTGAGCGCACCATGAACAAGATTAATTTTGACAAAATTGTCAGTTCTAAACCTCAGACCTTCTTTTATGTCACTCTGCCTGAGAAGGAGGACGAAAAGGTGCCACAGAAAGGTAAGTGGAGATGATAGGGTTTCTTTCCCAAGCTGTAAAAACCTCTGGCCAAATGACTTTGTTGTGAATAATGAACTCTACACGGATGCATGCTACAGAAAAAATATACAATACTGTAAGAAGACATACAGTACCTGTTTATTTCACCAAGGTTGACTCCTTTTCCTGAAAATACTGAAACAGCTATTTCCTGAATCTTCTATGTCAGTTATATAGTTCCATGTCAGTGCATTACCTTTTAGTGAACTCTGAAACTGCAACATTTTTATATGTCTCCAGCTTTTTGTATAAAGGAAATTTCAGTGTACAAATGAACAACAGCATAACAACAGCTTGTATGTGCAATCTGCTGTCAGCAAACCCTTAAAGGAAACACTTGGCTGGGAAAGGGGGAGGCAAGATCATGAATGATGGGTGTCACTTCTTTGCTTTACATCTGTTCTTCAGAAAGTGACAACCTTCACTACACAGCAGTGTGTAGCACAGATCTGTATTACTATAGAATAATTTATGTGGCATGGTGCTCGGCGTACTGAAAATCATTTTCTTGAATGGATGTGCCAGTCTAAAATTGAGTTTGACCCATTGAATCAATAGAATGTACATAAGTACTGACTTAACAATTCAGAAATTGATTCAATGGATCTTCTCTAGTTGAAACTAATAAATGGATTTAGGCCAGTAGTTTGTAGAATGCTGAGCCCCATAACCAATAACAATCACAAAATGCTGATCACTGTTCCTTGATCTGAATAAAATTCTCCCTTATATGACAGCAAAGCTATGTTTGAGGTGCTTTGTGAAATCTCAAAGTTAAAGGAGGTAGAGTAATTAGGATTTCCCATGGTCAGGAAAGAGTATGTCAGCATTTGACTATAGAATTTTGACCACAGCTATCCAAAAAAACTTAGAACAAGTATGAGATACTGACTTGCTTCATTTTCATATTCTAGACAAGCTTTCAGGTTAAGCTTTTGTTCCCACATAATGTTGGTTACATTGAAGGAGAGCATGGCTACATGTGCAAAAAAGCTTATAATCAGATCAGGTTCATCGTGTTTTAAATTTATTTTTTAAAAGGTGAGCACACAGTGCACATGAAGACAATTTTTTTATTTTATTTTTGCCCAGGAATCATGTTTTATAAGAAGTGAGGTATTCTGCTGGGCTGGCAGAAGGTTGTTTATTTTCACTCAGATGTCAATTCATTTTTAATAGCATTGACATAAATAAAGATAAACTGATGATCAGAGAAATTTGCAAGATTGGAAGCTTCTAGGCTTGTGAAGGAGGAGTCAGAGAAATTTGCAAGAATGGAAGCTTCTAGGCTTGTGAAGGAGGAGGAAGGGCTCCCCCCCCCACAACCTTTCTCTGTTAGCTCACAAATTTCCACTCAATGTCTGTCTTTCCTCTCACCCTGTCTCTGTGCACATGTGGAAGCTTGTATTCCAATCTGTTTTTTTTTAATTTGTCATGTCATACCATTGCTATTCTGCTTAGAAATAAAATTTAAAAATTAAAAATAACCCAGCAGCAGCAGAATTTGTCATGTCATACCGTTGCTATTCTGCTTAGAAAGAAATTTTAAAAATTAAAAATAACCCTGCAGCAGCAGTGGTGTGTGGCTGTGAGGCAAGTGAGTGCAGTACAAAGCCTCAAATGGAATGATTCAAAAAGCCCTTTCCACCAATATGCAACACAAGCCAGTGCGAGGGCAAGTGAGCGCAGGACAAAGCCTCAAATGGAATGATTCAAAAAGCCCTTTCCACCAATATGCAACACAAAACCATGTGACTACCATATGACTTGATACCGATTCCAAACAACCAAATCCATCTCCCGAGCGTAGTGTAACCACTAGTGATGGGGATATTTGTATACAAATACGAATAGCCCCCCATAGGTGGACATAACAAGGGTCCAGCCCCCTGGGTCTGGACCGTCCACTCACTGTCTGCTGATGCTGCGGACTCCGCGCTCCCTTCCTATCGCTCTGGCGCTCGCAGTCGATTAGCCAGTCCTGGCAGGAGGAGGGACAACGAGTCTCTCTGTCAGGTCAAAGAGTGTCTTGCCAACCGCAAGCTCTGGAGCGTCGTCGCGGCTGCATTGGGCTCTGCGCTCCCTTCCTATCGCTCTGGCACTCGTAGTCGATTAGCCAATCCTGGCAGGAAGAGGGACAACGAGTCTCTCTGTCAGGTCAAAGAGTGTCTCGCCAACCGCAAGCTCCGGAGCGTCGTCCCTCCTCCTGCCAGGAGTGGCTAATTGACCGCAAGCGGCAGAGTGATAGGAAGGGAGCGCGAAGCCCGCAGCAGCAGCAGACAGTGAGTGGACAGTCCGACCCCAGGGAGCTGGACCCTCGTTATGTTCACTTATGGGGGGTATTCATATTTGTATACAAATACCCCCATCTCTAGTAACCATGCTTTGAATCTAGAAATTACTATCATGATCTGCAGAAATGTGAATTGGGACTTAGCCTTGTACTCTGTGTGTTCATGGAACTTCTCAGGAATCTTATTTGAGGATGAGAAGAGACAGTCACTTGCTTTGGAGGGCAGAATGGTTTGGAAGGGAAGGTGTGTGGCGAGATAGAGAAGCAAAGATAGAATGGGCCCTGCCTTAAAGAAAGCTAACTGGAAACAAAACAAAAAACTGATAGGATGCTGAATGATTCAATTGCCTAGGTTGCTTAAGGGACAATCTATCTATACTAAGCAAAACAAGTAAAGAAAAAAATCAGAGATATCACTATATTTAATGGTTACATATATTAACAATAAATAGTACAGTATATAACATATTTAACAAAGGGATGTTATTTGCTATCTAAATAACATCTCTGTCTCTCTCAATCATCAGGTCTCATTGAAATTCCAGAATACCCATATAATGAGCAAAGAGAAGCTTTCATCTTTGTCTCCCTTTTGACACGGCCAGAAGTTATCATGGCATTGTGCCAGGTCCGGGATGAGTGCAATAAAACAGCAGCAATGTCACTTTTCCATTCAACTCTGACTAAATATGGCCGACTGGAGGAGTTTGAACAAATCCAAACCCAGACCTTTTCTCAGGTAAGACAAAGGGGAGACCCTCTTTAGAGAGATAGCATAGGCATCCTTCCGTCTCGAGAGACTATGGTAACATGCTCTGAATCGAGGAGTGTCCTCTCCAGAGCATGAAGTAAGTGGCCATACTTTGTATATATGAGAGAGAATGCCAGTATGGTGCTGTGGAACGAGGTCAGAAAGGACCTGCGTTCATAGTTCCTGAGCCATGGCTTTTGCTGGGTGGTGGATGTGGATTATTCCTGTATATCATAACTTACCTGATAAGAATTTTGCAATGGTAAATTTGGAGGCAAGGAGAGCAAAAGAAGCATTTTGTTTTTGCTGTCCTCTGCTCCATGAAGAATGGTAGAATAAAGGTATAATGAGGAATGGCAATAATAAATTAATTTCTTCAAGAGTTGCTTCTTGCGTAGCCAAAACAGCACCATGTAGAGCTGCAGCAGTTCCAGGGTTTGGTGTGTGTGTGTGTGTGTTTAGTCGTTTAGTCGTGTCCGACTCTTCGTGACCCCATGGACCAGAGCACGCCAGGCCCTCCTGTCTTCTACTGCCTCCCGGAGTTGTGTCAGGTTCATGTTGGTTGCTTCGCAGACACTGTCCAGCCACCTCATCCTCGGTCGTCCCCTTCTCCTCTTGCCATCACACCTTCCTAACATCAAGGTTTTTTTCCAAGGACTCTTTTCTTCTATATGCAAAATATTAGTGGCCATACTTTGTATATATGAGAGAGAATGCCAGTATGGTGCTGTGGAACGAGGTCAGAAAGGACCTGCGTTCATAGTTCCTGAGCCATGGCTTTTGCTGGGTGGTGGATGTGGATTATTCCTGTATATCATAACTTACCTGATAAGAATTTTGCAATGGTAAATTTGGAGGCAAGGAGAGCAAAAGAAGCATTTTGTTTTTGCTGTCCTCTGCTCCATGAAGAATGGTAGAATAAAGGTATAATGAGGAATGGCAATAATAAATTAATTTCTTCAAGAGTTGCTTCTTGCATAGCCAAAACAGCACCATGTAGAGATGTTAAGCTGCAGCAGTTCCAGGGTTTGGAGGAATACAGAAATTGAAGCAGGAGACCTCTGAAGGGGTTGTTTCTTCTTGGGACCATTGATCAGCCAGTTTTAAATTGGAACTGATGATTCTTATTGTATACAAGTTAATCGCAGGTTAAATCTATTGCTGAATCTGTTTTAGGGTGAAAAGGATGAGAATCTTCATGAGAATAGGCAAGTCTCTTAAAAAGCAGTGTTTTCTATGCTGATTCTTGAGCTTGGGGTGGGGGTGCGGGAGAGAACCTTTCCTAAGCATATACTCCACAAACAGTTTGAAGACTATATCTTCTCAAACTCCCCAAGTATCTTTAACCTGTAATCCATGAAATCCAAAAAGGAGTATGGGGGTTGTGTCAGGGAGAGAGGTGAATGTAAAGAAAAACAGTGGGGAAATGTGCATGCTGGGTTTCTCGGGAGATAACCTTAAAGCTCTTTTGTGTCAAAAATGAACAAGGTTCTGTTTTAGTGAAATATAACAGCATTTTTCATATGGATTTTTGCAAAATGTAAATGGATATTAAAAGGGAGAATTACAGGTCTCATGTTTTAGTAAAATTATGGGTTTTCCCCCAGTCTGCTTTAAAGTGTAAATGTTCCATACCCTTCGAAAATGCATGGTTAAACTAAAGTAAGTCTGCGAGGGAGATTTTGTTTGAAAATAGATAGCTATGGGAACAGTTGCTACCATCACAACACGACTGGAGTAGAGAGCAGAGTTGGCTGCCAGCTAAATGGTATTCTGTGGGCAACAGCCACATGGCGTATAGACCAGTGATGGCTGTTTTTTCCTAGGCAGGGGGAGGGGATGATTTGCAATGGAAAAACTGGGAGAGGAAGCTTAATCCTCAAGCTCTTTCCACTTTTCTGCTGCAGCCCCCCCCCAGTCCTATCACATGGTAGCAAGTGGGCAGAGTTCCAGCTGAAAAGCAGCAGATGGCAGAGCTCTGAAGCATCTGCTTTGCGTGTTGCTTCTCCACAATGAATCAGCAGCACCTATCCAGGTTTACTTCCATTTAGATGTATTCACGTTACCCTGTAGTTGAGGAACTTGATGGTTTTATTTCTCCCCTAGATTTCGATGTTTCTCAAGGATACTTGGATCAATACTTTAAAGATAGCTGTGAAAAGCAGCCTCAGAGATATAGGCAAAGGCTGGTACAATTTATACGAGACCAAATGGGAAGTGTACCAGATGTCTAAACTTCATCAGTTGATGGAGCTTATCAAGTTTATGCTGCAGGACTCTGTGCGTTACCTTGTCCAGGATTCATTGGTAAACTTCACCCAACTCTTTGTGGATGCCTGCTACAGTGTCCTAAATTGCTCTGAAGATATGGATTGGGGAAGTGACCTTGTTAACAGTCCATACAAGTAAGAAGATTTTTTTTAAAAAAATGTTTCAATTAAGAGGGAAAGAAGAAGAGTGTATCCTAACTATAAAACTGGATGATTCAATTTTTCCTTGACGTGAAACATGCTGCAGTTATGCCACCTCTCTTTGCATATATTAGTTTTCCTGTTGGAAGAGGGCTGATTGGCAAAGGGCTGGAGCACATTTCTGTATTTCTCATTATAAGTGTTTGTTACTGGCTTATGAAAGGTACAGTTTAGACACACAGGGCACAAAGTCAACAGAGCACCATCCACTGACTTTATTCAAAGATCATAAAGAGATAAGGCAGAATCATCTTTGTTTTTTCCTACTCGGTCAGTAGCCTGTTGTGCAAGCAAAAGAATTATGGAGTTTCCCGTACAAGCAGAGGCCCCATTGCCATCCACAAGTGCACTCTGTGTTCTCCGCCTGTGCAACATATGTAAGAGCTATAGCCAGTGGAATGATATGATCCACTGATGGTCAATAGGATTCTAGCTGCTATTTTAGGGCAAATGAAAACTCCCACTAAACAATGGAGGATTGAAGGCACATGGGGTAGCAGCCAGGGGCAACTTATAAACGAGAACTGGAGGACATTGCACTTCATAATCTGGGAGGACCCCCCCAAGAAAAAACATTAGCCATGAACCATTCTCATTAATAGGGTTCAAATGAATGTTGGGGTTACTTATTTGATCTACCAAAGTCAATCTTTTAATGACAGTACCTCTTACACACTGCTGTTTGGTATCTGTTCAGCGGATGAAAAAGGGAAGTTGTTAATTTAAGACAATTTACATTTATCTGGAATGTTAGAGTTTCCACACTCTAATTTCAGCTGGAGAGATCACCTGTAGAGAAGGGAGAAAGAAGTCTTTTCTACCACTATGAGAAGGGTCCAATGTGTCATATGTAGATCGCATATTTGCAAGTTCAGTAGAGTATGAATTATTTTTCTCCCTTTGGTTGGAGTAAAAATATGAAATACAATCCCAGGAAAATCATCTGCCTCGTTCACAGTGTGCCTCCAATGTCAGATTGGGTGAATTTATTGTATGTGTGTACTGTATTGTACGTGTGATCTATGGTTCATATATGGCTCCTGTACAGATGCAACATAAGCTGCCTCTGATTTAAAGTTTATCCCATCTCATTGCAGAGACACAGCAGATATGACCCTTTGCATTTCCTAGAGCAGCACCCTCTAGCCTGGATCCTGGATCACTTCAGATGTTTGGAGCTAAAAATTATTATTATTATTTAAATTTTTTCTATCCCACCTTTCTCCTTAAAAGTCTCAATCAGCATGCTCACAGTTTGGAAGGGGAGACTGGCTTCTTCTGTCTTTGGAATTTACACACACACAAGTAAAACTGGATTTTGTTTTTGTCATCTTTTCTTCACTTGTAGAGTCTAAGCGCCACAAATGTTTAATGCGTTAGGGTTGCTATAAGTCTGTTCTATAGAGCAGAATGAGCATTGAGGGTGAACTAGATCATCTGTAAAGCAATTTCCTCTTCTGTGATTCTCAGCTCAGTGAATCTTTATGTTATTTTTCAATCTGCAAAGAGGTTACCATTAGAGGTGATTCATTCTTAATAGTTTTACAGATTTCTGTCCTCTCTCTTCTGCAGGCCACGAAAAAATCCCCTCTTTATAATTGATCTGGTTCTCGACAGTCAGGGTGTCCATTTTAGCACCCCTTTGGAGAACTTTGAGACATCTCTTGTATCTCTGTTTAATAAAGGGATATTGGCCACCCACACCATACCACAGCTGGAAAAAGTGAGTTGTTATTGTGAACCCCGAGATGTCTGACTACAGTAATAATATGACCTATTGTGTAAAATGTGCATTCAGAAACAGATTGCAGGTTTCCATCTGAGGAATACTGAAAGCTTGCTTTATAGATCCTAATTATTGTTCTATAAGAAAACAGGAATTGCTTTGCCCAAAGTGTGAAGGATAGGTCTTTGAGGTGGGTGAACTGAGTAGTTGCTGAAAACGTGGTTCTTATTATTCCATTGGGTATGAGGGCATAACCAGAAGTGATTTGAGACCATTTAGAGGTGGAATTAATTGGAAGATTTATTTAAGTTTACACAAGGAATAGCAAGAAACTGTGAATGCCTTTTGTTAGTTTAAAAAGGATAACATGCTTTCAAGAAAAAGTCAGAACAGCAACATTCCATGAAGAAAACAATAACATTCACCAAAATCAAACCAATAGTTATGAAAAAACAGTCACCGAAGGTGCCAAGCTAAGTAGAGTGAGAAAGGAGTAGGTGCTGTTCACACACATTCAGTAGAGTGTAACATAATAGTATTATGTAAGTAGAGAAAGGAGAAGGTGCTGTTCACACACGTTCAGTAGAGTGTAACATAATAGTATTATGATAATATGCCAACACTGAAGACATTGTAACAGTACTGTACACAGATACACTAATAAATGCTTGCGCATAAAGTGCTAGAGATATCAGACAGGTTTACCTTTCTCGAAAGGAGAAGGTGCTGTTCACACACGTTCAGTAGAGTGTAACATAATAGTATTATGATAATATGCCAACACTGAAGACATTGTAACAGTACTGTACACAGATACACTAACAAATGCTTGTGGATAAAGTACAAGAGATATCAGACAGGTTTACCTTTCTCGAAAGTGACACTGGTATTCATCACTCATCTGGAAATATTTGTTAAAACTGGAAACATTTGAGATAACAGCCAAGCCATGTTGACAAATCCTGATATTTTTAACATCATTCTCTAGTTAATGTATACTGCGAACTAAGTAAGAAAGATATGCTTTTACTTCCTATCCTGATATTTTGGTGGATATGGAAATGTCAGCTGAAGTTCAACTAGCACGGTAGTCTTCATAAAGCAACTCATTTACAGACCTATAAAATCTCAAGGATTTTGATAGGCAGAGAATAATAGAGGACTCTGTGGAAGATGCATTTAGCTAAGATTTACAGCAGTAAGATATTTCCAGAGGATCCAGGTAATATTTATAGCAGTGAAGAAAACTTGCCCAGTTCAAGCAAGATGTGCTAGTAGTAATGCTGGATCCTAATGCTATTAGTTTGGAGATGGTAGTTAACACCAGTGAAACTGAATTGTATGGATAATACTCTAATTTCTGTTGCAGTTGTGATCAGAACATAGGTTTCATATGTGGTGGGAATGTGAGTGTACACCGAACCTCTGGAAGTTGGCTTTTGAAGAAATAAAGAAGAATTAATGTTAAATTTAAAAATATGTCCTAAAATAGCCCTTTTATCAATATTTGAGAGTAAGCAATAGAACTGGACAATGAAATAATTGATTACAAATTTAGTAACAGTGGTAAGATTAATAAACCGCCCAGAGTAGACCCATTCTAAATGGGTGGTATATAAATCAAATAAATAAATAAATAAATAATAGCAGAGAATTGGAAAGTTAAGTATGATCTCCAGTTAAATGAACAATATAAAGTACTTTGGAATTTAGCTATCAGTGGTAAGGTAATCTGTAATATTAAAGTAAGGAAAGGCCTAACAAATAAGAATATTTTTAAAGATATATGAGGAAAATTTATTGATTTTGTATTAACAAAGGGAAAGGCTTATGTATCTCTGCAAAAGTCGATGTATGTCTGGAAGGGGAATCAGGCTTTGTAAAGGGAGAGGAAACAGTATCTCCAATGGTCCTGGAGAGGTGGAGGAGAGTGCATTGGGATGTATGTGTATTGGTTATTATGTATGGGTTTGTTTGTTTGTTTTGTTTTGGTTACTCTGTTTTTGTGTCTACTTTAATACAAAATGAAAAAATTAGAAAAGGGAAGAAAGCAGGAACACAAATAATTTTTTTGGTGGAAATTGCACATAGCATAGCTGATTTTTTTAAAGTTGCATTTGTATCCCACCTTTTCTCCAATGAACATTAGGCTGTATACATGACTCAGACCTAGGTAACTTGATCTTCACAATAACTTTATTGAGTTTCATATCTCATTGGAGACTAGATGCTGGGGCTTACCAGGTCCCAGTTCAACACACGGGCATGGCCAAGAACTCAAATAGGGCTCATATAGATTTTGATTTGTGAGATTCTGATAATGTGAACTCCAACCTTACTTATGTTTAAGACTACTGTTACTTGGAGGGGAATGAGCTTCCATTTTCATGAGATATACCACCTGAGATATACCAGCTAGCATCCTTCAGGTATTTTGGCCTATAACTCCAATCATATCCAGACAGAATGGCCAGTGGTTATTCCAGATGGAGTGATGGGGGTTGTTAAATGACTTATTGGGAGGATATCGTGTTGGTGACCACTGCAATTTACAGTAGTAGGCAGATTTTAATTTTGTCCAACTGTCTTGTTGGAGAAAAAAACAACAGTCAATAACCCAGTCTTATGATAAGCAATGTTTCTTTTGTTTCTCTTCCAGTATGTGCTTGAAAATATATTTATCTGTGGCACACCATTGTTGGAGTCTGTGGGTCTGAATGAGCCAGCAGTGGTTGAATTGCGCAATACTATCTGCACATGTATCCGCAAAGCACTGATCCCCCTCCAGGCTTATGCCAAGAACTATGAAAAGTACTTAGAACTGAGTAACCGAGATATCCACAACCTCCTAAAGTAAGTAACATTCAAATGGAAAATAAGGGAATAGTGCAGGGGATTTTGAAAACTGGAAGGATCAGTTGAAGAACATTCCTGCTCTGTTGATTCCACCTTTGGGAATAAATGCTTCTGGGGGGAAAACAGGACCTTTCAAAATAGGGTTTACAGCATTATTCAAGAGGCCACATTTTACCTGGAGTTTAAACATGCTGCTCTGTGTCCACCTAGATCATCAGCTGGATCAGATTCCAAACTTTGATTGTAGCAGTTGATCAATGTGTCTTTCTTTGTGATGAGTATTAATATTATTGTCAACCATTTCCACAAATAATGCTGTGTTGCTAAGTCTACATGAGTGTTGATATGGCAAGTGGAATGCTTCGCACCCTATTGAAAATGTAATCATTAATAAATGTTCACATCTGTTGTTTTCATGGAACAAACTGAACAACTTCTTTTTTTAGAAGTTGTATTTAATCTCTCCTGCCATGTATTTAGTGGGAAATTTGCTGCATAAAACACATTCATAGACCATTTCATAGATGTCATTTCACCAGCTTAGTGGGACCTATGGTTCCAGGAAAAAAATCACACATTGCATCCCGAACTTACAAACGTATTGTTCTGAGAGTAGCTTATGTTATCAGGGTAATGATTTGCTGACCTGGTTAGAGAAGGAGTGTGTGTCATTTAGTATGTCAGTTTCTCCCTGCAACCTTAGGAGGGATATGGATGGCTGCTGTCTTCTGTTCCACTCTGCCGATTTCAAAGTAGTCAGGTGAGGCTATAAGGGCCCTTTGACTGCTCAAATCACAGTAGCCTCACTGGCATGAGAGGTAGGGCTGGCCATTATACAGCACCTGGCCTCAAGGACTACATTAAACTAGACTGTGAGGACTTCCTAACCTGTGAAGGAGCCTATGCAGCTTTTTTCTGTACTGTATCATGCTGCATCCCTATCAACCATTTTTACAGTAATCATGTAAAGTACTAGTGCTCTCCTGATTTCATCAGGACTTGGAGAAAATAAGCTCACTGGGGTTCGGGTTGGTTAAAAATCTCACTTTAGTGCACACCACCACATAGGTGGATGATCTTATCTCAAAGTATTAACCCTGTGTTCTCACAAAACAAGAATCCATGGGAGGAGGCCATTTCAAAGCATTTGTTCATGCCCCAAAGATGATAAGTTAATACAGTGTTTCTATATTCTGAAATATTTGCTCTTGCATTATAATACACTTATGCCCCTTAACACAAAAACATATTAAAAAATAAAAACCCCAAAGTGAAATGAAAGTTGTTGCCCCAGTGCTACTACAAATGTGAAAATGTTTGTGTTTCTGATTTGTTCCCAATTAATGAGGGGTGTATGAGAAGGAAAATGGAAGAAGATTGTTATATGGAACCCAGACAGTTAGGAGTTGAGATGAACCACAGATGGGTGGAGACGTGATCAGTGGAAACGCACGCACAAGGAAATATCACTTTGTAAGACACACCTACAAACACTATGGATCAACACAGTACCAAGGTCCTTATGAGCAGATTGTGCAATGGAGCAGTGGCTCTCAAATTTGGATCCCCAGATGTTCTTGGACTGCAACTCCCAGAAATCTTGGCCAGCACAGAAAGTGGTGAAGATTTCTGGTAATTGCAGTCCAAGAACATATAGTGACCCCGGTTTGAGTACTACTGCACTAGAGCAATGAGAGGAATGAATGTCTTCATTTAGCAAGAATAAAATTCTGCCATCATCTAGTGATGGTATAATAAAACCTGGAATATTAGCACAGTCCTGAATCCTATCCAAAGCTTGCATTCCATGAGGCCACAGAATCTGGGGAGATCCGAGGTTTGTCAAATCAGAACCCTTGTATTCAATTGGGTGTCATGTTTCCTGTGTGGTTCTGAACTTCAGTACTTAGAGGTTTTCCCCCTAAATTATCCCTGTCATGTACTGTCCTTGTGTGAGGATGTTATTCATCTTTCACTATGAAAGGTGACTCCAGACCTAATAATCACTAAACTATCTGTCATTGGCTCTGCACACTTCCCTTCTATCTCAACTTCTAATTTCTCGTTTCACGCCTCTCCTTTCTTTCTTCATTCCAGTTGATGCCTTTGTCATAGCTATTATTACGTTACAATGGAACTGTGTTCATCATAGGTATCATGGCCGCTTTAGCAGCAGTTTGCAGATAATTTAGTTGTTCTGCACTCAAGGAACTGACCAATCTTGTGCCAGATGTGAGCCCCCATGTGAAACAGTCACTACAATTTTATGTTCATTGATCAGGGAGTAACTTGCATTGATTTCAGTGGCCAACTACTTGGAGAACATGTAGCCAAAGCTCTACTCACAACCCAGGGGTCTTTGTCAGGTAGTGGGCTCAAGGTTCACTCAGCCTTCCATCCTTCTGAAATTGATAAATTGAGTACCCAGCTTGCTGGGGGGAGTGATAATGTGTAGCCTGAATACTTAAATTGTAAACCGCCCAGAGAATACTTAAGTGCTATGGGGCAGTAAATATATATAAGCAGCACACATGCTTTCCCCCCTGTTTCTTGACAATGCATGTTGAATTTTTAAATAAGACCAAGCAGGATCTGAATGTTTTTGAAGGGCACCTAACAATGCCCATATAGATTTGTTTGAATGGTTTGGAACCCTTTTATTGGATAAGACCGGTTGGACTTACTGTAAATAAATTATGTCTTTCTTTTATTCACATTATTTCACAAGCATATGTGTCCGTCAGAATACGCAAGTATATTCTGGAACAGTGTGTTCATCAAAGCCTGTATTGTTAGTCTGAATCATCTTTTAATAATATTACTCTCTGTTTCTAGACAATATGAGGTCCAATGTCCCCCTGCTCAAGAAGTGAGAGAGATAGTAAACATGCATTTAGCAGAAAAGGAGGTGCTTGATAACAGTTTGCCTGGCAGCATTGTCATCGGTCCCTTTCACCTCAGTGTCGAAGGTGTAAGGCAAAACCTCTCTAAGAAATGTAAAGCTTTGGCCACTTCTATGCTGGATATACTGGCTAAGAATTTACACCAACAAGTGGAAGATGTGAGTTTCATGCTTGATACTTGTCATTCTAAGGAAGAAACCAAATGTAATTTTGTAAACATTTCTAAAATGTGCAATTACAAGACCATACTTTTAGTTGCAATCATACAAATATTTTCTAAATCTTACTATCCTGATTATATAAAAGTTAGGGTTATTTTACTCAGAGATACAATAGCCAATTAAAATGAATGTTTGTTCATGAAAGGGTAAGAAATGCATCATGTAGAAATATTGATGGTTGGTCTCTTGCCATTCATTTTTTTCAACAATAGTCATGTATAGCCCTTCTGATGGGCTGTTCAATTCTCATATTATACATCCATGCAATTTTGATAGTCAAAGTTTGCTCATTTATTTATTTTATGCTACCTTTCTAAAGAAACTGGGACTCAAGTTTCCCAGCTGGAGATGAAGACCAACTTGGCTGAAGTTCAGGTTCTGCAACTCAAACTGGCCATTACCTGGAGTGCTTGGCTTCTCTAACCTGCATTTTCCCTGGCCTCTGTATAATAAATATGCTTATACATAAATACAGTGGTGCCTCGCTTAACGACGATAATCCCTTCCAGGAAAATTGCCGTTAAGCAAAAACAACGTAAAGCGAAATAAAAAAAACCATTGAAACCCGTTCAGTCCGTTCCAATGCGGTAAAAACTCACCGTCCAGCGAAGATCCTCCATACGGCAGCCATTTTAGCTGCCTGTATAGCGAGGAATCCATCCCTAAGCACAGTAGGGAGCCATTTTAAGCACCCGGCGGCCATTTTGAAACCCCAACGATAAGCTGTTTTGATCGTCGTAAAGCGAAAATCGGTTCCCGAAGCAGGGAACCGATCATTGCTAAGCAAAATTCCCCCATTTAGACCATTGTTTGCGATCACAATTGTGATCACAAAAAGATCGTTGTAAAGCGGATTCATTCACTGTAAAATAAAGATATCTTTAGAATAAAATCACATACTTTTAGAAGTTTCTCTGCTCTCAATCCACTTGATTGGTTGTTGCTGGCAGAGGCAATGGTGGAAAAACATAGGGCATGATATGTCACAAATCCTTAACGAAATGTTACCAAGGAAGGCAAAGAGGAGAGGTGAGTGTGACAGAAACCATGTATTTCTCGTAATATATTGTTCAGCTTTATGGCTACTTGCATTTATTTTTGTTTCAGTGGATTGAAATATTTGTTCTAGTGTCAGCATTCATAGTTCCACCACTTTTTTTCCTGCAGATCTGTGAAGCTTTCAAAGCCATCAGCCGAAAAATTTATGAAAAACCAAACAGCATCGAGGAGTTGGCTGAGCTGCGGGAGTGGATGAAAGGGATCCCTGAGAAGCTGAAAGTGCAGGAGGTAAGAGAGAAGTTAGGCTGTCCCTGGGTGTTGCCTTCGTGAGTGTAATTATTACATTAAACATTTGGAGAGAGGATGTTGCGCACAACAAATGTTAGCTCTACTAGAAAAATACGCAGCTAAATGTTTTGTAACATAACCTGTTTTTTTTAAAGCTGTTGTGAAGGGAAAGACCAGGGACAAGAGGTCTTTCTGAGAGAGCCGTCTCTCCCTAAGGCATCTAAAATGACTCAGACTACCGCACCTCCTACCCTGCCCCGAAAGAGAGACGAGCGTATAGACACCTGGGATTTGGAGGAGAAGAACAAGAGGGAAAAGAGCATATCCCACACGGTGGACACCCAGGATTTAGAGAGGGAGTTAAAAGGGTTAAGCGTGACTACTCCGACAGGGGTTGAAATGGCAGGAAAAGAGGAAAAAGGGCGGGCTCTGGCAGAGGCAGGATTGGGGGATATAAATACGACCCGAGGCAGTATCCCGGGTGGCTGGGAGTATGTATGGATGCAAGATCCCTGGACCAGCAAATGGGATCAAGTCCGGGTGCCTAAGGCTGAAGCTGAGAGCCGGACAAGGAAAGGGCTACCTCAGAGACCTCCTTACTGGGGTGAGTCCGAGACCCGGGAATGGAGGAGAAAGATTAGAGAGGAGAAAGAAGCCATAGCCAGAGAGAACGAGGCACGCCGGGCATGACATCTCAAAGAGTTACTGAAAATGGGGTGCTTTGTGACCTTGGGACAACTCGCAGGGAGAGGGATCCCCGTGGTGGGGATGGATTGGGGATGAAGAGACTCTCCCGCTTTTGAACCAGGGAGAACCTGAAGGGGGAACAGCTGATCCTGAAAGGGTGATTGCTGGACCTTGGAATATAACCTCAGTTAACCCTTTTGGATAGAATCTATGGTCACCCTTGAGAGCGCTGTTGCTCGAACAAGAGACTTTTGCAAGTGAGCATGTTAATGTTGAAGTTTCGAATGCTAAAGTTCCATTGGTCGAGTTCATAAATACTACAAACCCGTTTGAAATTCCTGAGTCTCGTGATTTATTGAAGGAAGGGGAAGCCACTTCAAAGGAACCTTCACAGCTCTTAAAACCGGTATATGATATGAGCTGATAAGCCCAAACGGTCGGAGAAAAGCACTTTTAAATAATATCTCTGCTTAGTAGATATGTTGACCAGAACCCTATTGGTGTTTGCCTAAAGTTTGTGTCACTAGCCATAGCTAATTGCAGCTGTTGTAGATGTGCCTAGTTGTGTGATTGATCACGCAACTGCAATGCACCCTAGCATCTCATCAATTAGCCACAATTGCCCACAGCAAGTTACACAGATCTGATGCCAACATAAATAGGATTGCAACCTATCATTTGTAAGTTATATCATAGGAACATAATAAACTATACTGTGCTTTTTTTATAATGAAAAGTGTGATATATAGTAGATAAAATGTGGCAGAGAAAGGTCACATTAGTGAAATACAGTAGATAATGGGTGGATCACGGAATGGTGTCAGAGTTCTGTTTGATTTAACCAATACTCCAACGGTAATTGCAAACTTCTTTGAATTAGTCAGTCTCTTTCACTATATAAGTATGCATGCTGTCAGTTACATAGAATGGGAATAGAAAGGTATTTAAATGATAAACTATAGATGTTGTAAGCCCCATCATTTTTTAAAAATAGTATAGATATAGACTGTTAAGTAAGTGTACAAATGTAAGTTTGTTATGCACATGTGTACCCTGAAAAGTCAGATTTAAACTATCACATGAAATGCTACCAAAATATTTTTCAAGCACAAGTCCATGGACTTACTCTGTGTGCTTGCTTGCTGAGCAGCTGAGTGAAGAGACAGCAATCCTGGAGTTCTTTGCAACCCTCAGTATGTGTTGCGAACAAAATTCTACAGCATGCTATTCAGCTGAGTGGAAGCGGGCCAGGAAATGGAATTTCCATGCAAAAACCTGAGAATTGCAAACTTCACTCTGATCCAAACTCGTAGCCTTCCGTCTTCTCTGCCAGGTGGACCATCTAGTGGTTGGGAGCCCAGCTGCCATTCCTTCCATGACTTTGCAGTAGTTGGGGCTGGGCTGGTCCACAGGTTGGCAGTTGAGTCAACTAATGCCTGGGTCTGTTGACCTGGGATTCTGCTACCATGAAAGAGTGGCAGTGATTTATATTGCTTGATTCTTAGGTTACGATAACACATGGGGCCCTGCAGGCCCCATGGAAATATCAGAGACGACTGAACTGTATTCAGCTATAACCAGTAAAGCTGTGGCCATTTATTCATGAAATGAAGTGAAGCTGACCTGTCTTCCTCTTTCTGTCTACGCCACTCTGTAGGAACTGATAAGTAAAGTCATGGAAGACTATGAAATCATGGAGGAATTCCTCTACAATTTGACTCAAGATGACTTCAATGACAAGTAAGCACCGGGTTTTTCCCCTGCAGTCAGAGCAAGACCTTTGGTTTCAGTTACCACATTTTCTGCCTGGGGGCTTTATTTACACATCAGAGGGCTTCAGCAAATCTCTTCAGGCAGCTGGAAAAGATGCCTCTGAACTACCTTATTCAAATGCATACACTGCAGTGCCTTAGCAATCCTGCAGTTTCTGACCTTTTTAGAAGACTGGAGGCCTTTATTTTGTCTTCTTTCTTATGAAGAAGCGATGAACTTAATTGCTGCACAGTGTGTGATTCTTAAGCTGCATAGTCCTGTGCAGAAGGAGAAGGTTTGCAAGAATCTCAGAGTTACTTGGGGGTGTTGGTTGCCCACCAGCCCATGCCAGAGTTTCATGGCTGGTGTGTAATAGAATAAATCCAGACACGCAATCTGCAAGATGCAACAAGTTCTTACAAGGCAGAAATGGTCAAATGCCACCTGTGGGTCTTCTTGGGGCTTGTTTATGGCTCCTAACTCCTCCCCCATGTGCTCCTTGCCTACTATTAAAACAAAACAAAACAAAACCCACACCCAAATGCAAGTTGTTGATCTTGGAGCCTTCTAGGAACAGTGGGTTTCACATTATTCAGGTGGATGGCCCATGAGCCCACTGCACCACAAAACATTTCAAAAATTGAACCTGGGAGTGCCCTTTTAAGGACTTCTAGTTTCATTTTCATTGCCAACATAACAATTTTTGGCTATTTCCTGGTCCAGTGTGGCCTGTAGCATAGTCTGGGTATGATAATTTGGCCCCTGGTCCCAACAAAGTTGTTATTAGGAGACAGAGTTTTTACTCCACAATAAATACACTCAATAAAAGAATGTGTAGAGAGTGCAAATGACCTGTTCATGTTGACAGAACAGGACTGTAATTTGACAGAGGATCCATACGTTCCAGAATTATAGTTATTCCATTCTATGCATGACCACCAGATTGTGGTGCTTCATTACGCTTTAGGGGTGGTTTTTTTGTTTGTTTGTTTGTTTGTTTGTTTTTTTGCATTCTTCAAAAAGATAAGCTTTCTTGCCATCTTTGTTCTTAGTAATTTATGCAATACCTTCAGTGTGCAAAATAATTCTCCCTACATTACGTTCTTCAAAAAGATAAGCATTCTTGCCATCTTTGTTCTTAGTAATTTATGCAATACCTTCAGTGTGCAAAATAATTCTCCCTACATTACCTGTATTGCACTGAAAAAATTTTGTGAGTAGAAGAAGCTCCTTGACCAAGCAAGGGGTTCAGCCTTCCCTTTCCAACCATGAGTTGATTATGCCACAAGAAACTAAGTCCAGCACTGGGGAGTATCTTTACTGCACCACTAAAACTTACAAGTAAAATGAGTTTTTGAGAACTCTTCACGAGACAGAGATTGTATAAATCTTGTGCTTAAGCTAAATATTGGTCCAGATGGAATGCCCTTGGCTGATGAAGCCAGACTGCTTTCCCACTTTGTAGACAAGAGGCTGCTCTGCCCTGCGGATCTGCCAGATGCTGTAAGTGAAACCACAGAGGCTTGTGTTTAGGCTTCCAGTGGAAAGACATGAAGCAGAGTCTCAGTCTTGACATCAGAATAGTAGGGTACACTTTGATTTCACAGTAGACTTAAAAGTCCATTGCAGCCAATTCCCACCTTGTTGATTTGATAGTCAAAGCTAGGGGATTTGTCTTCCCCGGTTTTATATCATCCTGGCCTGCTGGAAAGTTCTGAAGGGTTGTCTTATTTGTAACTTTTTAGTAATTCAATAAAGGTATTACTTTGTTGCTACGAATGGACCACAGGACCATGATTTATATACAGTATATTATACCCATGAGGTAAGTTATTTTAATTATTCCAGTTTTACACATTGTTGACTGATCTAGTAACAGTATCATCCTTTGCCCAACAGCTCTGTTTTCTCTTGATATTGCATTATGATTTGAAAGGTGCTGTAGCTAACACTTGTGTTTTGTTTTTAGATAATCTATATGTTGCCTTTAGGTATTGGCTGCAGTTCAGGATAGCACAGGATTGTGGTTTTGAGAAATTAATGTAGTTAGTCTGCTTTTATTCATGATTTTTACTTGCATTTAGTATTAAGTTTGCATGAGCATTTATCCTGTGATACCCTTATGCGTCAGTTGTGTGACTCTCTTCATAATCTCAGGTGGGCTGCAAGCAACTGGCCTTGGAAGCTCAGCACACAAATGGACCTGATAAGGCAACAGCATGTTGAAGATGAAGAGAGATTCCGCAAAATTCAATTCATGGATCAGAACAATTTCTTGGAACGTCTGGATGGCCTTCAGGTACTGAAATCTGGTGCTGAAGGTCTCCTCTGTAGTAGATTTTAAGTATAAGTAGTTGTCTGCAGATAGCTGGGAATGAGTTAAAGCAAGAATAAGCTGTGTGTTCAATATGAGCAGTGGTGTTCCACAGCGTTTTGTATGTAATGTTTTTTTAATCAAGATAGAAGATGATTGGGCCTCTCAAAATGCTCAATGTAAATTGTAGCTGAATTCTTTGGAAGTAAAGGAGGAGGATTTTTAAGAAGTAGCTGTGTTGGTTTGTTATAACGTCTGTAACAAAAATGAAAACAAAAGGGTTGTGACACCTTAAAAACTAACATATTTATTTCATTGTGAATTTTCATAGATTGCAAGCCATTTTCTCTGACACAGGAAGTCTTGAAGATTGTGACCAGAATTCTGTTGGTGTTCCCCCATGGTTGTGTAACTTGCTTCGGCTAACTATGACTAATTGATGAGATGCAGGAGCATGTCTCACTTGCATGCCTGGTCACACACCCAGTTGTTCAACTGAGATATGCCCCAGCATCTTGTCAATTAGCCACAGCAAGTTACCCAAACCTTATGTGAACACCAGTAGGATTCCAGCCAATGTTACTGATGAAGATAACAATTATTGTCATGTCATGTTTCTGCAGGAAGTCTGTATCTAAAGCAACTTAAAACACTTTTTTAAAATATCATTTAAAAACATTGAAAGTGAGTTAAGATGCTGTGTGTAGGCATCCTTCAGTCTCGAAAGACTATGGTAGCGTGCTCTGTATGGAGGACTTGGAACAGCGTCTGGTGTGGCTGAGGAGGCCAATTCGAGAGTTACAATCTCTTCCACACTGAAGACAAATCCAATCTGTCCCCTGTCCAGCTCCCTGGTTTTGCTTCCTTTGTGACTTCCTCTTTGCCTCGGCCTGCTGGACAAGGGTCTCTTCAAATTGGGAGAGGCCGTGATGCACGGCCTGCCTCCAGGCTGAACGATCCGATGTCAGAGTTTCCCATCTGTTGAGGTCTATTCCTAAGGCCTTCAGATCCCGCTTGCAGATATCCTTGTATCGCAGCTGTGGTCTCCCTCTGGGGCGATTTCCCTGCACTAATTCTCCATATAGGAGATCCTTTGGAATCCGACCATCAGCCATTCTCACAACGTGCCCAAGCCAGCGTAGACGTCGCTGTTTCAGTAATGTATTCATGCTGAAAATTCCAGCTCGTTCTAGGACTATTCTATTTGGAACTCTGTCCTGCCAGGTGATACCAAAAAGTTAAGATGCTAAACAAATGGTTAAGATGCTAAACAAACAAAAAATCCCAGATGCACCACAAAGTCAGGTCATCTGTGGGAGATCTTGGCTTCGAATATTGCTTACACTTTTGCCACATAGGAGTCAGGTATCTTTGGCCCTACGTAATGCCTTCCAGTTATGTTGGATGGCAACTCCCATAATTTGGCATCCAACATAGCTGGATTGTAGTTCAGCACATCAGAAAAGCAACAGATTGCAGAAGACAGTATTATGTCATATGTGACATTTCATATTTAAAAATTATTTGGGCCATATAGTAAAGGAAGACAATTAAAAGTTCATATTTTCAAAGCTGGCAGCAGTAACATATTTATCTTCTTGAATATCAACAGCATCCCTCCTGCTTTATTTTCTAAAAGAACGTGTATACTGCAAGGACCTAAAATCTATCCTTTCTCCCTTACGTGTCAAAGAGATTGTGTTCCCCACAGCTTGCATAATTTTGTTTGGGTTTGTTTGTTTGTTTTACATTTTTGCCTCCCTCCCTGCTTTGTAACTTGTTTATTGGCCTAATCACCTTAATGTTGGCTGAAGAGCTCAGTGAGTCAGAGCACTTGACTGTGGAGCTGGGAGTTGGGACTTTGATTCCCCACTGTGCCATTTAGGCCGGGAAGAGCCTGCATGGGCTTGGGGAAGAGCTTGGGGAAGCTACACAGTCCTAGGATGGCCCCAGAAGAAAGGAAAGGCAAACCACTTCTCTGTTTACTCTATATACAGGTAACCCTGGAAAGGCTAGCATGAGCCAGAACTGATTTCGCAGCACATAACTATCTCAAGCTACTGTAGCTGGATAGCTCAGTGAGTTAGGTATCTGGCTGTGGAGCCAGTGATTAGGAGTTTGATTCCCCACTAGTCCTTCTTCCCTAGGGGGTGTACTTTTCGACAAGCTACACAATCCCAGGGCAAACCCAGAAGAAGAAGCCCATTCTGAAATAACATGAATGGGTGAAAATTATAAGAAAGAAGATATAATATATAATTGTAAATTTTAAAGACTTAGGGAAAAAATCAAGATAAGTGTGAAGTAAACCTAGTAAGAAAACATATTGACAAAAGTAATAATGATATATACTGTTCTCTGTCATGTTCTGTATTTTTTCTTTACTCCAGTACCCTGTTCCAAATCCCCTTCCCTGTGATCTTTCTTTACCCAGTGGGAAATGAATTTTAAAAAAAATTAAACAAAGAAAAAAAAGAAACCCATTCTGAATATGTTCTAGCTATAAAACCCTGAAAAGGATCATCGTAAGTCAGAAGCTACTTGATGGCACATAATGTTTTAATATTTTTTCTTCTCAGTCATCCCAGTTGAGATTTTGTCATTTCTCTTCTGCTATCATGACTATTCCTGCTTTTGTGGGTCTTCTTGGTTTTTGTTGAGTTTGGGACATATCATTGTCATGCTTTCAAGTTTATTTGCATATCCCAGCTGATCAGACTTTCAAAAATGTTTTGAATGCCCTGTCTTGGTGCAGTAGAAAGTCTAGGCACCCTTTGAAGAAGAAAACACTAGATATTTGTCATGTGCTTCTTACTATCTTTTAAATTACGAATACACAAGTTGAGCAAGTAAAATAGCAGCAAGCATGACAAGCAATATTGGTCAAATGCTTCCATATTCAATTAAAAAAACACCACAAAATTACTCTCTCACAATTTCTTAGCTCTGCCCTGGAGACACAAAGAGCATTTAGAGACAACAGGATTATTACAACAACTAATTGTGCATTAATTTGGGTTAATTGTTTCTTCATTAAGTAGCATGTTCTACCATGACCAAAAGATGAGGATTTTTCTGCTTTGCACGATAGAAACCAAAGGACATCACAGTATGAAATTTATTATTCCCAGGAATTCATCAAGGATTTAGGACCATTAAAAGGATCTTAATTTAAATATAAGCATCTTTTGAAAGACAGGTTGATATCTCATGGGTTCTAGCTCCAGACGTACCATGCCTTCTCTCTTTTTTTTACAGCTTGCTGTGGCTGGGTTTTCTGCACATGCAGATATTAGCCGTGCTCATGAGATAGCCAATGAAGCAAGAAGAATCAGGAAGCAGTTGAAGGAATCCCAGCAAATGGCACTACTCTACAACAACAGGGAACGTATTTTCGGTTTGCCAGTGACTAATGTAAGTATCCAAGTTACATGTATTGCACTCTTTAGTAAGCTGAGAGCAAAAAAAAATTGTCAGACCTATTATCAGCTTCCTTTTACAACTTCACCTTGTTGGTTATCTGCACCTGGCCTAATGATAATACAGTGGTGCCCCGCATGACGACGATAATCCGTCCCGTGAAAAATCGCTGTTTAGCAAAATCATTGAAACTCGGTTTAATGCGTTCCAATGGGGGAAATACCTCATTGTCCAGTGAAGATCGCCCATAGGGAAGCCATTTTGCAAGCGCCGATCAGCTGTAAAAATGGCTGCCCTGCGAAACATGGGTCCAGAAAACACAGGGCAGCCATTTTGCGGAGCCGAAAAAATGGTTTTCTTGCGAACAAACACTTCGTGAAGCACGGACCTAATCGACATCCAGTGAAAATCCCCCATAGGATTGACTGTTTTGCGAATCGCTATAGTGATCGCAAAAAGTCATCGTCATGCGGATTCGTTGTTTAGCGGGGTCGTCGTTTAGCGAGGTACCACTGTATAAGTAAGTCAATATGGTGGCTACTGTTTTCCATTATCTTATATGTGTGCTGTGTACAGTATTTTTTGAGGTTAACCTATTAATTTTTTGAGGAATACATGACAGTTTGCAATTAATAATGTGTGTGCGTGTGTTTTTCCTCCCTAGTACGATAAATTGTCCAGGATGGTTAAGGATTTTCAGCCCTTCTATGATCTCTGGACTACAGCATCAGACTGGCTTCGCTGGGCCGACAGCTGGATGAATGATCCTCTCTCTGCTATTGACGCAGAGCAGCTGGAGAAGAATGTAAACGAGTCCTTTAAGACAATGCATAAGTGTGTGAAACAGTTCAAGGATATTCCAGGTAACTTCAACTGATCGATTCCTTGTTGTTCAGGAGAGAGGTGAGATTGAACATATAATCTCCTTTATATAGCATTTATTCACTTGTTCAGCGTGTGGTGACATAACAGCTTTGCAAATACACTTTCAGAGAATTGGAATAAACTATGAAAAAGATTTGACTTGGCTAATGCTATCATAAAGATATTTCGGAATTGCAAACTGTCTCTGAAACGATCTATACTATATACACACATTGCAGTATATTCTCTGTGTGTGTGTGTGTGTGTGTGTGTGTGGAGATCTTATTCCTTTTTTTGACTTGTTTTTTGTTTCAAACAATGAGTTCTATTCTAAATGCTGCAGTGAATCAGCTTGCCAGAGGAGGAGACAAGGGAATATGTATGAGTAAGGGTGAATCATTCAGAGGCGGAGGATTAAAGATACACATTCGTATAATGGAGCCATTCTTCAAAAACTTCACATTTTCCTCTATCATAATGTTCCATTTTTGTCAAAAGCAGTGCTGGAGTATTATTCCTCCATCACAAGAACAACCAGAGGCTACACAGTAAGACATTATGGTTTGTTGTATGGAGCCGTTTAAAAGTAGATCTATCTTACCCTTTGCAAAGACACTGTCTTTGTCATGACCGTGATTTAGAAGGGAACATATATGCATATATAAGAAGATGTGGACTTAGTTTTATTAAAATAGGAACAAAACTCAACCCACAGCGCTTCTGTTTTGATAATGTAATGCTGCATTTTGCATGGCTCTTTTCTTGACCATACTATTAATGTGTGGCCAGAATCACATTGCTAATAATTTGCAGTCATAAGGCATGTTGCACGAGTCTTAGCAGCCAACTGCCACTTATGAGTGAGGTGCCTCGTTGTGTTCCCAGGCACACAGTTGTGTGCACTCCCAGGAATGCAAACAGCACCTCTCAATGACTTATGCCATTTCCTTACAGAAGAGTAAATTGGCAAAAGGATTCTAACCTCTGTGCTTCTGCACTCATTGCTCCTGATTTTCACTCTATTTTGCAGCAGTATCAATAGGACTCTTGATTAATGGGACACTTTTCTTGTTCTGTAAAGCATGCCAGGATGTGGCAGTGGAAATCCGTGGCAAGATTGAGGAATTCAAACCATATATACCCCTGATTCAAGGGCTGCGCAATCCTGGTATGCGCAACCGTCACTGGGAGATGCTTTCTGAGGAGATCAAAATCAATGTGAAGCCCAAGGCCAATCTGACATTTGCACGCTGTCTGGATATGAAGCTTCAGGATCACATTGAGATCATAGCCAAAATAGCTGAGATTGCAGGAAAGGAGTATTCAATTGAGCATGTGAGTAGACTATTCTGTCCACTTCTCTTTATGTTATAATACTTTCTATACTTGAAGTGCTGTAGAACATATAGAAAATAATATAAGATACCTGCTAACTTGGTCTTAGGAAACCCTAAGCAACCTTAAATATATGAATTTCATTCATTAGGTTACTTGACCAAAGGGGGTTCTGTGGCAGAAAGCAATTTCTATTTCTGTTTCCCCCCCCCTTCATTTTTCAGCTGGCCTCCTTCTGTTGTCTACTGTCATTTCTCCATTAACTTTTCATACTTTCCATTCATGAATCAGGAAGTATTTGTAATGTACATGTGTTCAGTAAGGAGTAAACATCATATTGCTTCTTATTTTCTAGGCCTTGGATAAGATGGAGCATGAATGGGAATCCATTCTGTTCAATGTCGTTCCCTACAAAGAAACAGGAACATTTATTCTGAAGAGCCCTGATGAAGCTTCTCAGCTTCTGGATGATCACATAGTTATGACCCAAAGCATGTCCTTCTCACCATTCAAAAAGCCGTTTGAAGAGCGGATCAACACATGGGAAAATAAATTGAAGATGACTCAGGTACAGAGGTTCAGAGTGGTTCTGTATGTTCAGAAGAAAAATCAGAGTTAAATGGGAAAATACCCCAATATAGTTACTGGGGTGATAGTGTACAGTGGTGCCTCACTTGACGAGGATAATCCGTCCCAACAAAATCACTGTAGAATGAAATTGTCGTCAAGTGAAAGTAAAAATCTCATTGAAATGCATTGAAAACCGGTTCAATGCATTTCAATGGGCGAAATACCTCAGCGCCCAGCGAAGATCCTCCATAGGGCGGCCGTTTTCCGGTGCCTGTAAAGCGAGGAATACATCCTAAAACCCAGTGGGGAGCCATTTTACACAGCGGGCAGCCATTTTGAAAGCCCGACGATCAGCTGTTTTGATCGTCCTTAAGCGGAAAATCGATTCCCGAAGCAGGGAACCGATCATCGTGAAGCAATTTTTCCCTATTAAAACATTGTTTTAATAAAACTTCATCGTTGAGCAATTTCCTCCTCTAACGAGGTAATCGTCAAGCGGGGCACCACTGTACTGGAGATATATCTGGATATACCCAGAGATTAGCCTGGTTGATGTGAAATCTTTGCATACACATTGTAGCTTTCCCAAAGCATTAAATCATTTGTTATGTACCATATGTTAGAACCAACATATAGTGATCCAACATATAATCCTTCTCTAACTGGTAAGAGGTAACAAGTGGGGTACCCCAAGACTCAGTCCTGGGCCCAGTGCTCTTCAGTATTTTTATTAATGACTTGGATGAGGGAGTGCAGGAAACGCTTGTCAAATTTGCAGATGATACAAAATTGGGCGGAATAGCAATACACTAGAACAGTGGTTCCCAACCTTTTTAACCCCGTGGACTGGCTGGTGAAGGCGGGGCACACACCCCCCGCACACATGCGCAAAGGATGACGCAGCGCTCGTGTGCATCCGCAAAGGGTGGCACAGTGCTTATGCGGGCACGCGCATGCTCGCACGCAGGCACAAATGGGCTGTGCTGGGGGAGTAAGTGAGTGTGTGAGGGGGTGGGGGGGAGGTCTCTCTCTGCAGCCCGGTCTGGATCAGGCCATGGACTGGCACTGCCGCGGACTGGGGGCTGGGGACCTCTGCTTGAGAAGACAGAAACAAAATTCAAAATGACCTTGATAGGATGGAACGCTGGGCTGAAAGCAACAAAGTGAAATTCAACAGGGATAAGTGCAAAGTCCTGCACTTCAGAAAAAGAAACCAACAGCACAGTTACAAGATGAGGGATACCTGACTCAGCAAAACTACAAGCAAGAAGGATTTTGGAATTGTAGTAGATCACAAGCTACATATGAGCCAACAGTGTGATGTGGCTACCAAAAAAAAAAAAAAAGGCAAATGCTATTTTAGGTTCCATTAATAGTATAGTTTCCAGATCCCACAAAGTGCTAGTCCCCCTCTATTCAGCACTGATTAGGCCTCACCTTGAGTATTTTGTCCAGTTCTGGAGACACACTTCAAGAATGATGTGAAGAAATTGGAGCACGTTCAGAGGAGGGTGACAAGAATGTTCAGGGGGCTGGAAACCAAGCCTTATGAGGAAAGGCTGAAAAAATTAGGCATGTTTAGCCTTGAGAAAAGAAAACTGAGGGGTGATATGATAGCACTTTTTCAAATATTTGAAAGGCTGTCATACAGAGGAGGGGCAAGATCTGTTCTCGATCATCCCAAAGTGCAGGTCACGCAACAATGGGCTCAAGTTAAAGGAAGCCGGATTTTGGTTGAATATCAGGAAAAACTTCCTAACTGTTAGAGCAGTACGAGAGTGGAAGCAGTTACCTCAGGAGTTGGTGAGTGCTCCAACAATGGAGGCATAAAAACTAAGATTATCACCTGGCAGTTGTGCTTTGATTGTATTCCTGCACTGAGCAGAGGGTTGGACTTGATGAACTTGTAGGCCGCTTCCAACTTCACTTTTCTGTGATTCTGTGATTCTATGAATAGTCAATCAAGATAAGTGAGATTTAAATAAGGAGTGTTTTTACCAGCTCCCACACCCCCCAGTGAGTTTCCATAGCTGAGCATGAACGTAAACTCAGGCCTCCTGAGTTCTGGTCCATCACTCTGTCCACTACACCACGCTGGGGACCTGTGGATCACAGTCTAACTTTAATGAGTGTTCATAGCTGTCAAGCTTGATTTCCTTCAGTAAAGTAAATAGAATTTAATTTTCATCTTTTAAATACCTGGCATATTGAATAGCATATTTTTTAAAAAAATATGTCCTTCCGTATTTTAGTCACACTGTTGCTCAATTTCAGCGCTAAAGGACCTGAATTTACAAGAATGAGTCCTAATAAGCAGAGGAGTAGTTTCAGCATCAAGTGTATGAATGGTCCACAGCCAAACTAGTTGAAGCATGTTAGTTAGGCCATTCCATGTAGGTATGGGAAAATATTTTAAAAACTTATATGGTGCACCCCTCCTATGTTGTTTCTACAACCAAAATATGAATGTACGCCAAATTTCAGGCCATTTGGTGATGTTTTGACCCCTGTCCAACACGATTAACTGATTTAGTTCATACAGTAAATCATCATTTTCCTATACTAAAATCATGCCAAAATATTTGTAATATAAGACAGTTTATTACACAGAAAAGAAAAACTACTTATGTAGTAACTAACAAGTTTGGTAATAGTGTACACAAAATCATATCGAATCACTTTACTGGATTTAACGTTTTGTGGAGGAGAACGTTAATTTCTTTAATGTCTTTTTTTTTAAAGTTGGGAATTTGTTTGTGGTGATATTCAACCACTTGCAATAAAAGAATCACTTTACTGGATTTGGAACAATGTTCGAGCAATCTGCTGCCATTCTGAAGAGGAAAGTCTGTTTGAAAATAGAGAGAACACAGCTCATTCTTTGGTTAAATACCAGAAGTGCCTTTCCATGGCTTTTATGGCTGCATTTGCAACTTGTGGATCATGCTTGCAATACTTGTTCAGGTCATGCCATAGCTTGAGATCATTATACACTGCATTGGCCCCAATGGATGAAGAGAGCCACTTTTCAACATAGACTAGTGCAATAAATTTGCATAGTGCTTCCACTTAACTGATCATGGCTTTGTCATATCCTGCTTGAGCACTGAAAGCCAACATCTTTGCAGGATACAAAATGGATGGCATCCATCAACCATGATGTGCTGCTCCTGGTTTCAGCCAGTGTATTCCTCTTTCAGGTGTCTCACCCAGAAGTATCAACATCAATTCAGCACA